GAACAGGTCAGAACAGGTCAGAACAGGGTGGTGGGAGCAACCATATGGCCCAACAGCACACCTGAAACCTATCCAGGTCAGAACAGATCAGAACAGGGTGGTGCTAGAATTGTTCCAGGCTGTTATGGTTGGAAGTTGTTGAAGTACCTCTCCACACCGATTTCGAGGTTCGAGGGCCTCTCTGCGAACCTGTTAAACTACCAGCACTGACACCCTTTACAAAAGTTGTGGGGTCTGATGTATCAGGCCGGGCTTCCACAAGTTGTGGGGTCTGATGTATCAGGCCGGGCTTCCACAGGGTGGTGCACACCTTGGCTTAGACGAATGCGAGTTGAGGGGGGCAGTGCTTTAAACTGCCACTCTCCGCAACAGTTGGAAATTGGCTTTCCAGTGAGTCCGCTGTGGTCAAAGGGTGGCTAGGAACTGGGAGGCCCAAGGGATGCGGAGGCCGGCGACAATCCAATTAACATGAACCTGTGGTCTGGAGATGTGATGGTGGCCCAACCGAGTGGAATACGGGTGCAAAAGGACTTCTGTCTGGTTTAATCGGGTCGGCCCAGCCCCGATCCCTAGGGTCCACTGGCAAGTAAGCGACCGCCAAGGAAAAGGGGTGGAAGTCATCCTGGTGGAATGGCCTGTTGGAGGTTAGTCAAATGGATGTTTTTTTTCAAACCAAGCCATATTCTTCTCTCAAGTATCCCTTACACTACATGCCCACGTCTACCTGGCCAGGGCTACATCTACCAAGCAGGGGCTAGCCAGAGCGACATCTACCAATTAGGGGCAACCAATACCGGGCATATGAACTAAACCCCAGCCAGGACTGGTAGGGGCGAAGGCCTCCAGGAGAACCCGGTACCCTGCCAAGACCAAGTGGGGAGGGCAACCCACCTACCTCGCCTGGCGAACACCAAGCACGCCACAGGTTCCCCACGGGGAATTGAACCCTCGACCTCCCGAATGCCACTTGCGTGCGAAACCAACTGGGCTAGGCCGCCCGATGTCGAATGGATGTTTTGGTTCCGCGCACCTGACAATGTATGTTTTGGTTCCACACGCCTGACAATTTTGGTCAGAGGGGACTGTTTCCTCTTTCAATTCACTGTTTCATTGTTCCAAACGTCTTCCATCGTCCCTACCCCGCCCTGGTGGCAAAACATGTGAATGGGAACAGGGTGCCTTGCGCAGTAAGAATGGCCAGTTATCGAACTACGGCTGCATCATCAGCCTCTCGGGAATCAATATTGGCGGTTGAAAAAGTGGACAACCACTCCTTAGACCGCGAGTACCTTTGATGGTTGGGAAAATAGGGAGTCTTGGGTGGGTCTCCGATCTCTTAGGGGCCGAAACGAAGCAACGGCCACCGATGAGATTTATCAATGGCGGTCGTCGTCGGGCCCAGTCCCCAACTTGTACGGAGTTTGGGAAAACTGCCAGTTTTCCCTATTTTCCCGAACGTTAAGTGGCTTAAGGATCCCAGACCACATTGCAGGTGAGACTTTTTCCCTCAGGTAAGAGATACGGATTCAGAGCTGCCAACCAGCCGACAGAGTGTCTCCAATCCCAACAAGAGTGCAACGCAACGGTCCATCCGTGATTGCGCACTCAGGGCACCCATCTGGCCATCAACGCTCCAATCGGTCTTCCTGGGTCCGAAATCGCAAGACCCTCTGGTTGCACGAAGACTGCCCGACCCCCGTTATGGAGTGGTGCATACCATTCGTATGGAAAGAATCGAGCTGCAGCGCTGCCCTCGTGTATCTTGACCACGGCGCAAGGGGGGAAATATCACTCGCCCCGACTACAGCAAAGCTTTGGGCATGCTTCTGGCCGTCGTTTTCGTTCCTCATGGTTGTACCGTGCCGAAGCTCATTGATTTTAACCTCTGGGGGAGGATGCTCTGTCATTGTTGAATCAAAAAAAGCCCTGTCCTCGTCCCCATGGTGCGGTAATTCATCACACATGGTGTCATTGCCAGCATCAGACTGCTGAGTAGATGACGAATCAATCTTCAAAAAACTTTCCAGAACAAGCGGGGGAACTGCATCACCTACCTTCCCCAAAGCACCGTTGGTCCTCGTAGCGTCAAACGATGATGATAATGCCGTTTGATCTTCAGTGGACTGTTGGTAAGATAGTGAAACAGATCTCAGAAAAACTATCGAAACAGGTGCCCGGGTCGCTGATTCCACGTCCATCGAATCTCCATTGTTCACTACAACAGGCTGAGGCTGACAGTCCTCAAATGGTGCTGATATCGTGTGATCATCACCCAATTCTTCACACGCATGAGCAACTGGCTGCTGTTGCTGGACACGGAGTGGAGTAATTCGTGATGTCACTGTTGTTCGTGTTGATGTTGTTATTGTCGATGTTGCTCATGTTGCCGATGTTGATGTTGTTGATATTGTTGAATCTGTGTGTGTCACGCTATGCTGGCATTCGGATGAGAACAACTCACCTAGTGGACCGCCTACGGCTCTTCTCGCTAGAAGCTCGGCAAATATGTCTTTCACCTGCGTCAGCATCCCAGCGCACTCGTGCAGGACAGCCATTGCCTGCGCTCTGTCATTCATGACCAAATGTGGGAGAGAGATCTGCACATGCAGTTCCTCCTCCCATCCATCAAAGATCCCCTCTCCCTCCAACGAAATATCATGCGGTAAGTTGTCATGTTCTTGACTCAGCACCGCATGCATCTCCTCCTGTTGTTGTTTATACAAGGTCACAATCAACAGTGCAGAATCTGCCTCCACGGCCCTGCAGGGCACGAGGGGTGTCCCACAGTCCCCCATCAGACCTGGTCTCCGTCTCCATCTCTGCCACCGTTGCTGATGTAGCAGGTATTCTTTCACTGATGTTTTCCTTCGCTGCGACTGCCACATCTCCGGTTAGCCTTGTGCCGCTCGATGTTTCCCGTTGCTACTGTACTCCCTTCAACTGCTGTGCTGGCGTCAGCACATCGTACGATGTTTTCCTTCGCTGCGACCGGCACGTCTCCGGTTAGCCTTGTGCCACTCTATGTTTTCCGTTGCTACCGTACTCCCTTCGCTGGCATCAGCACATCGAACGTTCGCCACGTGGATATTCCCACTCCGGCACAAACATGGTCGGGGGACGTCGATGTTCAAGTCGTTGGGTGATGTACGGCCCATACGGCGGCCATCACCTAGGGGCTTGCGCGGGGCTTGGCGGGCGATTGTTATAAAGCTTGAAAGGCCCATCATCTTGAAGGGCGTGATGACTACAGTGTCATACTCAAACACCTGAGATTCGGATTGTCCCATCGAGGAAGGAGAAACCCTGACACCGCTGAATTGTTCATACTGAGAGTGTGTAAGATTTTGACATATGGGATGTACAGGTAAGGGGCAAGCAGGCAACCTTGCCTCATCTGCGATCGGCAATTTCTCGCCGAATCATGGCTGAGAGCAGCTACCCGGATGTAATAAGATATTCA